GGCCACACCTCGCAGTGAGAGGGGGCTGTTTGCGCTGCTCCGCGCCCCCAGGGATGGGGCTGAGCAGGGACGCGTTGCCCCGGGTGGGGGGTGCCCCCCCAGCAGCCTGTGCTCTACCCGGGCAGGTGAGGAGCTGCTGCTCCTCTTTCTCCACGGGCAAAGAGCCTTCCTGAGCGCGGGGGGGGCACACAGGGTGCTCTGTCCCTCACCTCCTGCTAAGCCACGGCCCGGTCTTGCCTCTGCAGCAAGGGCAGGAGATGGACATGGGCTGCTGGCGCCTTTGCCAGAGCTCGTCCCTCTGTAGAGAAATCCCCGCTGGTTTCTTGCACCCTCAGTTGCTTTTATTTTTGGAGAAGGAGATCTTAAAAGCTCCCAGCCAGGAGAGGGACGTGTTCGTAAGGTGACTGTGTGGCTCTGGCTCTTCCTGAATGCAGCAGCAGACCCCGAGGGGCCTGCTGACAAATGGATATCGTGATTCATGCGGGGTTCTGATCTTTTGTATCTGTTTTGTTCAGTTTCTTTTGCTCTGGGTTCAGCATCACAGGACGTTATTGTTCCTTTTCTCGCTGAAACGTGTGAGCTGAGGCGGGCGGGATGAGGGTAAGATGTTCCTCTGAATCATTAAAATCACACAATAACTGACACTGGAAGGGACCTCGGGAAGTCTCTAGTCCCAGCCCCCTGCTCAAAGCAGGGTCAGCTCTGAGATCAGACCAGGTTACTCAGCATTCCTGAGCATCGCTTCTCTTGCCCTTTGTGCTTGCATCGAAAATTGCCCTTAAATTACTGGATGCTGCTACTTCATTCCCTCTCTGTTCTCCTCTGCAGTTTCAGAGCTTCACTGCTGGGGCTTCTTTGTGATGTTTTGTCTCTCCCGATCCTCTGTGAGTGCAGTTTTGGTGGAGAAATGGCTGTTTGGTCAGAGCAGGGGCCTCGTCAAAAGATAGTGGCAGGTCTCGGGTGTGTCTGTGATTCAGAGCTCTCTTGAAGAGGAGACAAAGATCTTTGTACTTTAGTGTTCTTGGGTAGAGAGGACGATAGTGACGGTAGCGCTTTCTTTTGCTCATGGAAAATGGGCTTGTGTGTAGAGCTGGGGTTCCTCTGTGGCATCAGCCTGAGGCACAGGGAAGCAGAAGCCTGGCTTGGAAGACAAATGTGGTTTTTATGTCCCAGGTGGGACTGTGACGCTGTTGGTACTGGGGCTGCTGACCCTCTGGCTGGCTCCTTATGGTGTCCTTTGTTTGACTCCTGCCTGGAAGTGTCTGGACCAGACCTCTGCTTTCTAAACTCTTTGTACTTGATAATCCTGAGAATTTCAGGATTTGGGCAGGGGAACGAAAGGGAAGGTCAGTACTGAGGATGCTTGGGTTTTAAGAAGTATTTTTTTTAGGCAAGAAAGAGGCAGGCTGCAGGGTTCACCGCGTCCCATTGTTCAGGTGAAGAAGTCTCTCAGCTCTCTGTGAGCCATTGATACCCAGCACGTGCTGGCAGAGCAGATCTGGACTGTGAAGTGCAAACCAAGGGGGTGGTTTGTGCTTCCCTGCTCGGTTGGAAATGTGACCTGGGGAGGATGCTTTCTGCAGCTGTATTCCTGTGACAAGAGAAACTGCAGCGAAATGAAATCTGCTTTATTTTTTTCCCTCTTCCTTCCCAGTTTCCTGTCCTGCCCAGCTCGCTGAGTAGTTAATGCAGAAGATAAAGAGGGTTCGTCTGGAAAACGAGACTGCAGGAAGTTGGAGGAGGTATGTGTCCTGGTTACTCCCAGGACCTTTATTGACCTTTAGGTTGTGTGGGACAGAGCAGTAATCACCTCTTGGAGTGAAGGAGGGTTCTGAAAAATCCCAGGTATCTCATTCTTCCCCGGGAGCTCTGGGTCAGGATCTGTGGATCAGGAAGTGACTCAGGAAGATAACTTGTTTCACTGACTTCCAGTTCCTGTGCTGATGTCCCACCTGTACTTGCTTGTTGTCTTCAGACTCCCCATGAAGGAGGGCTGATTGCATGTGCTCCTGGTCCATCTAATCTGGCCAGGCAGAGCAGAAAAGGCATTAAAAAGACCTCCAAGAGAGAGCTGGATGCTTTTGGGAGTGGGGTTAGCAGCGCTTCTGCAACAGCACTGAATCATCTCAGTCAGTGCCTTGGCATGAGGACTGCAAAGGACTGGGTTTTCTCCAGTAAGGTGTGGATCTCAGCTATGCCATATTGATGTCAAAGTGTCAAGACCATCTAAGAGGAAGCTGGTTAAAATTGGTGTCTTGATCTCACTTACCTTTGAATTATTTAATCCCCAAACTTACTCTGCAGTTTGGTTAGATAAGTTACTCCTTATACTTGTTTACTTACATGTATAGCGTTGCCAAATACTTGTATGTTTTGTCCAAGAGATGGCTGTAGTGATGGATGGAGCAACTGGATTTTCTTTTTACTCCCTATTGCATCAGGACTGAAGTTTGTGAGACTCCACCACACGGGGTGTGATGGTGGCATTTCCCAACGCTTTCATGTCATTTTGTGTGATGGCTGCTTTGCTTATCCCACTTATTCCACTCTGTTGTAGTGTCAGAATCACCAGGATGAGAACAGTACCAAGCTAAAAGTGCTGTTCCCTTCCCTAGTGAGTCATAATAGAGTTTGGAAGGGGCTGCAGCCTCCAGTTCACTGTGGGACAGTAACCACTGTTACATCTGTGGACTTCTTAAGCCCTTCAAGGTGCAACTTTCCCCTGTGAGGAGTCCAGCTGGCTGAGTAAGATGGTTTCCCCACCTGAGTGAGAGTAACCCACGGGTCAGGCACCTCGAGCCAAAGGCAGATCATTTGAATTGACTGACTTGACTTGCAGTGGGGTTGGGTTGAGAGAATTGTACCCAGTTCCTGGGGGGTTGTGGGCTTCCTGTCATGTGTTTCTGATAGGCAACACTTCTGCCTTCAGAGGTGATGGGAGTTGCTGTCATGGAGACCCTGCCTATAGGCAGCAGAGGCCCCAGCGACCCTGCCTATAGGCAGCAGAGGCCACAGCCACACTCAGCCTCAGAACATCCCGTCACGTTCTCTTTTGTGGTTTTATTTGGGCTTCCTGCCGGGCTTTGATTGGGAAGTGCTCTTCTCTATTCATTTTCAGGATGTGGATTTGCTGCTGGGCAGTAGGTACAGGGAGTACCTAGAGCTTTAATTCAGGAGCTTGTTCTTGTGGTGTTCATCACACATTTTGTACAATTTAGGGGCTTAGCAGTTTGAAGACATGGGTTTAGTTCCAGCCCTTGTACCATGTGCCTGTAGTTTAAGGAAGTCCAGATGTGCTTTGGTCCCCATGCAGCAAACTTCTCCAGCCTGATTTCTGCAGGAAACCGAGCTTCTCCTGAAATTCTTTGCAACATTCTTCCAGGTATCCCCAAAAGAACTAAAATGTCCTCATGGAAGGAAACCCAGCTTCCCAAATGGGCTGGCAAAAACTGGTTTCCCTAGTCCTAGGCTCACTCCTGCTTTGCAATAGATGACATCATTGACCTTGGGCAAATCTGTTGGCCCACCTCTCCTCAAATTAACATGTGCTGTAGTTGTTGTGGAGGCGGTTTCTGGGAGACTCTCATTCAATCAGTGCCAGCTTGGAAATGTGTGAGGAATGCCTGCCACATTTGCCAGGATACGGCCAGGGTCTGTTGCTGCTGTCTTCTTTCTGTTGGTTTCTTCCTGTTTTGCCATCTCCCCTGCTTCATTCCTGGCTGCAAGGGCTCTTCAGGTAAGTGAGGAGCTTAAGGTGGGCTTAAACCTCTCTCTAAGTGTTGAGCAGGCTTTCCTTTGGGACAGGAAAGGGACTTCACTTCTGTGGTCTTCCAGATCAGAAGTTTATGTGCCTTTACAATAGGTCATAGCTTTGATGACTTATCCCTCCAAATTCCTGGGGTGGTTTTCCTTTGAGTCAAGCTGGTGGTTTTCTGCACCAGAATCTGCTGCTTGTGCTTCCTTTAACAGCTCATTTCTAGAGTTAGTCCTGGGAGAGTGAGTTTTCTGAGGTTAATATCTTCATTTGCAGCACTTGATACGGGATGGGAGATGGACTTTTCCCTTCGATACATCAGTGTATGTTTAAAATACAATCTTTGAGTGCAGAGAACCCTCAGAGCTGCAGTTTAAGCAGTGCCTGTTCTCCGAAGCTTGTTGCATGCTTAGAGCTTTCTTTGCTTGATTTTTAAGGCTTAATTCTCTCCCTCAACTCCTCCCTCAGTTTTTTATCCAGTTCTGAAGGGGAAGAGAAGATGACTGCAGTGGACACGCTATCAGACAGCTCTGAAGTGGTCGAGATGGAGGATGTGCCTTCCCAATTCCAGGTGCAAAAGCATTCTTGGGATGGGCTGCGTGACATTATTCACAGCAGCAGGAAGTATTCGGGCATGATAGTGAACAAAGCTCCCCATGATTTCCAGTTTGTCCGGAAAACAGAAGAGTCCAGCCCGCACTCTCATCGCCTCTATTACCTGGGTAAGCCAGTGTGAATGTCTGCCAGGAGAGCTTCCAGTCAAAACAGGCAAGGAAAAGGCTGGGAAATCTCTCTGTTTATGAGATGGGGGAACTGAATTAAGTAGCATTGCTCTGGGTTTGCACACTCAGTCTATAGCAAAGCCTGGAACTGGGCAGAGACCCCTGCAGCCCCAGGCAAGTGCTTTAACCACAGGCCCTCTGCTTAGCAAAAAGGGGAAGTGTTGGCTACCTCATGACAGAGGTGTCAATGCAGTGTCCTTTGGCAGCCCAGGTCAGCCCAGGTGATGGAGCTGTTCCTTAAACTCAGGACTGTCTGTGCCTCTGTAGCTTAGGAGAAATGGGATTTACTTGGTTGATCAACCAGACTGCCTTTCCAAGGAATTTGCTGTCAGTAATGACTCTGTGTTGCAAGTTTTAGGTATTAATGGCAGGGTGGTGGTGTCTCTGCTTTTTTAAGTACTGTGTAGGTAGAAGGCTTTTAAGAGCAGGAGATTTAAAAAAAAGAGATTAGGTGGGAAAGAACTATTAATGGTATTCACAGGGAAATATCCTCTTCCTTACAGTAGGATTGAAAGGCAGCAGAGTGCTGTGCTGAACAGGTCCCTCATTAGTTGGAGCCACAATGTAATTAGTGACAGAGTGGTTGGATTTCAGTAACTGGATAATTCTGTGGTTGGTAGCATGGGAAGCTTTATAGACTCTAAAGAGTTTGTTAGGCTCAGGGGCATGAGCTGATCCTTACTGGGCCAGTAAAGAAATTGCGTGATGTGCAGCTCCACACAGCAACTGTTTCCTCAAGTGACCCTGCTTTTCTTTCTTCTGTTTTGAGTTGTTGAGTGGAGGTCACTGTAGGACACAGGGTGCTGGGGTTGGGGCACTGGTTTGTTTTGTCATTAAGCAGCTCCTGTGTGCCACTGACTTGATTTGTTATAGTTTCTCATATATTCTTACAACACAAGTGCTACTATAAAGGGCAATGTCCAGAGTGAGCATATGTTTCTTGTCGGGTCTGAACAGTGAGGTTTGATTTAAAGCTGAGTCTATTTCAAGGCCAAGTTGACTTTGATATAGTTTTTGATCTAGATGACTAAAGAACTAAGGATCTGAGTGGCTTGTTTAAAGACATTTTCAAGTTTTGCTGTATGAAGTAGCAGCCAGACCAGCTCCTGCTGGTTGGGGTTCAGCACGGGTGTGACTTACAGGAGCCAGAGCCAGGAGTGAAGATACTCAAGTGTCTTTTCAATGTTCTCTTAGGGAAGTAACAGGGCAGAAAGCAGATTGATCCATCATTTCAGATCAGTAGCTGCCAGGTAGTACCAGGGTACCTCTTCTCAGGCATTCCTAATACAGGGTAAACCCTGACTCTTTCACCATAAAGAGCATCTTTTGAGCTGAATACTCTTTGCTATTAGATCCTCGGACCCCATTTCAGCAGTTCATGAGGGTGTAACATCAGAGAGCTGTTCCTGGCCCAACGTTAAGTAACACTGTCAGGTTTTTCCATGAGCACTGTTAGTGACTGCATTCCAAGGAGGAGGATGAAGTCTCCCAAAGAACTTCACTGCAGGGGTTGATCAATTTCCTCACTTGGGAGCAAAGAGTAATGTCTTTTGGGGAGGAAGGCCCTATTGTGAATGCTGATGGGTTGTAGTCAACCTGAGATCACTGTAGAAAGAACTTACATAAGGAGAGAGGAGGTCCAGAATACACTCACGTGAGTGTCAGTTGTGTGTCTATATAGTCATTTGTTCCTATCTGCATTTTTTCCCTGTTTGGCCATCTTAAATCATTCCTGTGCTGTCCCCATAGGATTTTATGTTGTATCATGGCAGATGCTGCTTATGTTAAACACCACATGCTCAGCACTTTGGTGGTTCTGTGTCTCTGAGGATTCCGTGCTCACATATTGCTTTGCTTCCTGAGTACTTATTAATATTTCAGGTTTAATTTTCAGTAACTGTAGTGCTGGGTTAACTGGCTCCAGAATCTTTCTGTTCTGCCCAGAATATGTGCAGAGTAGACAATATCAGGGCACATTTCCCTGTGCCACATTCTGATCTAGGCACTAGTCCCTACAGCATATGTAGAGGGCATGTTCATGGCCTTTGATTTTGTTGGAGCTGCCAAAATCGTGTGTGAGGGTGTTTTAGTTTTCATGGTTGTTTTGGAAGTTGGAGGGTGGCCAGTAGCTTGTTTGATAACCACAGTCAAAGGCTTATGTAAGATGACAGTCTCTTGACTGTATGAAGTAGTCGTGTACTGTTTCACATGGGAATGGGCTCTCTGGAACTTCCCAGCTTTTCCTTCCCCTCTTGCAGGCTGCTGCCTTGGCCTCAGTGAGGTTCCTGTAGCAAATTTCTGGCTGAGAAATGTGGAGAGTAATGTTGAGTCACCCACTCAGGGAGTGGCTTTCTTAGAGGGGATCTAGGGCATGGCTTGAGCAGGCCACAGTGAGGAAGGTTGGCCAGAACCACGTGTGAAGAGGCTGGTTTGTGTTACATCTTCAGCAGGGAGGTTTCTAAGTAAATGAATATCTAAAGAATTTAGGGATTATCCTGTGATTGAACTGAGAACTCCTGGTAAAAGCCTCTGGACAGCCCCAAGCCCTCTGTTAAAAGACTTTGCTTTTCAATTTGCTCTTGGTCCTCTTTGTCCCAGCTAACTAATCTTAAGTAGGATGATGCTTTTGTCCCCCTAATAGGAATGCCATATGGTAGCCGAGAGAATTCCCTTCTTTATTCAGAGATTCCCAAAAAGGTACGGAAGGAGGCCTTGCTTCTCTTGTCATGGAAACAGATGCTGGATCACTTTCAGGTAAGCTGAAGTGTGAAGAGCTTGGGCTGACAGCACTTGGGGCAACTGGGTGATGTTGTGGGCTGGGGTGGTGGGTACTACTCTGGTAAATAGCAGAGATCATAATGTGGCAGGGTACAAGACATGGAGAACAGTAGTGGTGGGAATGTTGTATCAAGGATTGCTTTGCTCCCTAATACAAGATAGTCACTTGTGTGTGCAGTGAAGCAGCAGTTGATAAGGCAAGCAAAGGGCTCACCTAGCAGAGAGGACTCTGTAAAGTAGCATGTAGCCTGCCTCAGATTACAAACTATCAGCACAGTGCACCTTTCTTCTGGGTGTCTTGTCTGGGCTCTTGCTGTGCTCACTGGGATGCCTGCCTGTCATCTCTCCTGCTTTTAAGGAAGTTGAGAAAGTTGAATTTAAACTGCTGCTTCTGCCCTACACTGTTGTGAGCAAACCAGAAAGGGGGGGAATTTTCCCCTCCCTGATACCAGTATCTTGATGCCCTTTGTCACTAACAGCATTGATGGAGAAGAGAGAGGAGGGGGTGGTCTTTCTTCCCTACTAAAAAGGTTCCTGGTGGAAAAGCATGTAGCTGTCTTGATCCTATGTGGATCACTAGTCCTCCTCGGGGTAATTCAAGATCCCCGGAAGAGCTTTTGTTTGCAGTGTCTGACATGGAAACTGTTTGTGAAGGCTGGAGATAATGTCATTAAGTTAATTGTTACATCTGATCTGCATGAGCAGAGCAAGTGCAGCTCTCCTCAGTTCATGCTGACGTGCCAGCTGCAGTAGGGACACATTCACAATTCACCTCTCCTGTAGAGGGAACTTTGGGGCATGTGGTGGGTTTAGTCCTCCTGGAGCCCACCTAGAACCTCGAGTGCAGTAGTCATGGGCCTGCGTGGTCAGACTGCTGGCTGGTTTGGGCTGGGATGTTGTATTTTGGGTGCTCACAGACTATCTGGTGCCAGCCTTGGAGCATCCCTGGTCTGTGGAAGTTTCTCTCCTTGCAGATTCTTTGAGATTTTCCTTTCCTTCAATACCAGGCAACCCCTCATCATGGGATGTATTCTAGAGAAGAGGAACTCTTGAGGGAACGCAAGCGACTCGGTGTCTTTGGTATAACATCTTACGATTTCCACAGTGAGAGTGGCCTGTTCCTCTTCCAGGCCAGCAACAGCCTCTTTCATTGTCGAGATGGGGGCAAGAATGGTTTCATGGTGAGTCTGAGAGTGATTTTTGGGAGTATCCCCTGAAGTAGACTTAATGGTTATGGTTGGAGGTGGCTGCACATCTGCATCTGTTTGGTGATGGTCATTTCTCTGGTCAGGGCTCTGTTTGCCATCATTTCATGTGCTGTATTGTATCTGTGCTTTAGGCCTTTTAAACATGAAAATGGAAGCTGGTTTGGTACAGAGCTCTTTGCGTGTCTGTTGCTGTAGGTGTCTCCAATGAAGCCTCTGGAGATCAAGACTCAGTGCACGGGGCCACGAATGGATCCCAAGATCTGCCCTGCTGACCCTGCCTTCTTCTCATTCATTAATAACAACGACCTGTGGGTAGCAAATATTGAGACAGGAGAGGAGAAACGAATGACATACTGCCATAAAGGTAACTGCTGCTTCTTGCCAGCTTGGAAAGAAGATGCCTTCTGACAGATTTGGGCTGGAAGGGCTCATGTCTTCGTGGCTTATTTCTTACAAGTACATTCTTCTTTTGGATCAGCTTTTTCCAAGGAGATGTAAATGCAGTCTCATCTGTGTTCCTCTCCAGGCTTATCCAATGTTCTCGACGACCCCAAGTCTGCTGGTGTAGCCACTTTTGTCATTCAGGAGGAGTTTGATCGGTTCACGGGCTATTGGTGGTGTCCCACAGCTTCCACAGAAGGTCAGTCACTGTTCTGCTTATCACAGGCTGACACTAACTGCTGCCAGCTCCTGCTATGAATGATACTTTGAGCAAGGTTTAGCCTTTGGCCTGTGTTTGCTCTGTTTCTGGGGAGGCCACCTGAAGGAACAGAACACAGAGAGATTAGAATTGTGCTCCGAGGGGTGTTTGCACGTGGTCTCTAGGAGCTGTGGCTGTGCAGGAGATGTACAACTCAGCACCAGAGCACTGCTGCGGTGCTCCAGGCAAGCCAGAAGCAGCTGGAAAACTGAGTAGCAAACATGATGCTCTGCCCTAGGTTCAGAGGATTTAAAAACACTGCGGATCTTGTATGAGGAAGTGGATGAGTCAGAGGTAGAGATAATTCATGTTCCTTCACCTGCCTTGGAGGAGAGAAAAACAGACTCCTATCGGTACCCCAGGACAGGTAAGTGAAGTACCGTGGGGCTTCTGATGCAGCTCTTGACTCCAGCTGGGAGCAGCAGTGGAATTTGTGTTATAAAGTTTGCATGATTAATCTGGGTACTTACTAGAATGTAGAAGCTGTGAATGTTGAGGTCTAATTGAGCCTCTGAGCCCAGAATCTCCTGCAAGAAAGGACTGGGATTTCAAGTTGAGCTTAAGTGAAAGGGTTGCTGAGAAAATGGAATCCATCTGGTGGCATTATCGTGGAATATGTTTTGAATCCTGTCTTTCCTTTCCCTCCTGAGAACATACAGCAATTGGACAAGGCCAAAGCAAACTTTTCCTATACCCGGAATGACTCTGGTGATTACAGGGGGGTTTGCTCACATACATAGTTTGATAGTTGTACATTCCCACACAGCCATTTCCATAGGTGGGGGGTTGGTACTTCTCTAGGAGCTGGATTGTGTATAACCATGGAGTGTTCAAGCTGGTCATTTTGGTATTCCTTCCCTCCTTCTCTGCAGGCAGCAAAAACCCCAAGATTACATTAAAGCTGGCAGAATTTAAAACAGACAGCAAGGGGAAGGTAAGTGCTAACAACTGAGAATGGGGTATTGCACAGGAGGGTTGACAGCTTCTGAAGCTCCCTAGAGTTAAGAGAAGGTCACTAAGAAACCCCAGATAGTTGTTAGCATTTGTTTTCACCCTCTTGTAACGCCTGGTCCTCTTAATGTGTTTATCCAAGAAACAGAAAACTTGGAAGTGCTGGGAATGATTGTTCTGGTGGAGCAGCAGCTGGGAGAGGGGTATAGCACACTGGCAACAGCAGAGCAGGAGGCTTGAAGCCCAATCTAGTCCTGGCCTTCAGTCCCTGGCCGTAGCCTTATCTGTGGCTGAATGCCAAAATCATTTTGCTTTGAAGCTTGTTTTTCCCTTCTCATCCTGCTGTTTGCAGAAGGGCTTTTGCTTCTCCTGGCCTGACCCTTTGCTGATGCCAATAGTTAAACTTCCTTGTTCTCCCATTTCACTGAGCTTCCATAGGAGGAGGTGAGGAGCTCTGGAAGCACTCTGATTTGATACTGGACCTTCCTTTTGCTGCAGATCGTGTGTGCTCAGGACAAGGAGCTGGTGCAACCATTTGCTGCATTGTTTCCCTCTGTGGAGTACATTGCCCGTGCCGGATGGACCCGAGATGGCAAATAGTACATAAGTTTTTCTTCCAAATCAATGCTTCCAAGGGCTGAACTATTGCAGGCCCTCAGCATGCTCTGTATTGTGGTCAAAACCTGGTTTTGAAGGCCTGAGTGCCAGAAATGGCACATGAGTATTTGGCTTCTTCACTGTTAAAACATCCTAAAAGTAGCAATTAACCCAGCGTAGAGCAGAGTGACAAGCTGTGGGGTTTAAGTCACAACCACAAATTTAAGTGACATTGATGTTTTAAGCAGGCAGATCTAGGGAATTCCTTTGAGTTGAAGCTATTTAACACAAGCACAGTGTGCTTCCTGCTGCAAATGAAAATGCACTGAAGCAGTTCTAGCATTCTTCATTGGTCCAGTTCATGATCAATGCTGAATGTGCCAGGGGAAGGGGGGCAGTTTGCATGGTGCTTAGTCCTTCATGCCAGAGGGGAAGGGTTGCTCTGTAACTGGTGTGCTCCCATAGCTTGCTGGTGCTCCAAACCTGGTTTGAGATTTGTAAGCTCTTAATTTTCCCCCTCCAAAGCTTGCTTGAGTGTTAACTAGTTTCTGGGCAGATCAAGTTAAGGTGATTTCACTGTCTTTGCAGACTGTGGTTCTGTAACTCATTAATTCTCTGCTCTGGAAGCAAAATTCATAGAGCTTTACAGAAGGTAATCCCATAGGTGATTCTTCTGTTCTGCACCAGAGCTTATCTAAATGTGCTGAATATATCAGTTCATGAAATCCACAGTCACTGAGATGCTAGGGGAGAACTGGCTCTTTTGAAAGTCTGTCTTAATGATGAAACTTCCCTTGATGCACTTCCAGGCCTTGGGGTAGCCGCACTATGCAGCGGTGGCTTGCCATCTGTCATGTTGAGAGGCCTGCAGTGCAGCACCACTTCCAATGACTCTCCTTGGAGAGGAACAAGGCTGAGACTGAAGCGACTCCTTCACTTGGCAGTTGTCTTAGGTCTGTGCCTTTCCCTGCTAGTGCAGTGTGCGATGAGGAAGCAAACGGATCGCTTTAAGAGTGATCACTTCAGCTCGGCAGGAGCTTTGCTGGAAAACAAACAGTGCTTCCTGATGGAGGGGCTGTCCGAGGAGGAGTTATGTTCTGGAGACAGGCTTCTGTTAACAGTGCTCCCTTGGAATAGAGACACTCTGGCAAATGTGTCAGACATCTCGTCTGAACGATACCCCTGTGACATACCAGAGCTGTCTGGCAATACGTGTGTGTTGGCAAAGCTTCCAGGGGATTAGAAAGCAGCAATGATGAGAAAAGCTTTGCATTGAGATGCCTGAATCCTTTCTGCCAGCGGGGGGAAAAAGGGTTGCATGTTTCTGAGTGTTAGAAAGGGACAGCTACGTTGTGGTACTGAAATTCACCTCTAACTTCTTTCCCCAGTGCTTGGGCTATGTTCCTAGACAGACCTCAGCAGCGGCTGCAGCTAATCCTGTTGCCTCCAGCACTCTTTATTCCAGTCCCAGAAAATGAGGAACAGCGTGCTGAATTTGCCAAAACTGTGCCAGAAAATGTCCAGCCATTTGTGATCTATGAAGAAACCACTGATGTGTGGATAAATGTAAGAGGCTCGGGGCGGGGAGGAGAACACGGGCTGCCTCTTCCTCCCACACAGTTAAGCATCGTGGTACTGAAGTGATAGAGCGGCCTGAAGTCCACACCAAGGTGTTGGAGTAGTGGGACTCTCATAGCTGAAATGTCCAGCTTGGAGACAAGACTGGTGCTGGGTTTGGTGGTAGCAATGGAAAGCCCGGAGCGTGTGGTTTTCCACGTGGGTCCGGAGTTTCTCTGTGGGGACAGGGAAGTAGGGAATCGCTTATTCCCACTCGTCTGGGATATTTCTCCCCCCTCTCCTTTCCGCTGAAAGCCCAGTAGTTCAGCACTGCCTCCCTTGGCTTTGGCTCTGCTGTCTCAATACCAATCACTCATCAGTCTCTTGCCTTGTGGGACAGGTTCATGATATCTTCTATCCTTTCATCCAAGCGGAGGGAGAGGAGGAAGAACTCTGCTTTATTCGAGCCAACGAATGCAAAACAGGTTTCTGCCACCTGTACAGAGTCACAGCGGTTCTGAAGCAGGGCAGCTATGACTGGCTGCAGCCATACGTCCATAGCGAGGGTAAGAGCTACACTTGGCTGGCATTTCAGCTCCGGGTGCTCCCTCTCTGCTTTGCTTGTGTTGCCTTTTGGGGAAGGCACTGATTGATTCTCCTCTTATCTCTTCCAGATGATTTCAAATGTCCCATCAAAGAGGAGGTCGCGCTGACTGGTGGGGAATGGGAGGTGTTGGCGAGGCATGGATCGAAGGTAGTGGTTATTTTTGTTCTCTTGCAGTGTTACAGCTCTGCATTGTCTGCCCACAGGCCTGGCCTATGCCCTCTGTTACACCAGGGACCAGCTAAAACTAAGCTTCATTTTGTTTCTCTTTTTATGGCTGCCTTTGCTTTCCCCACAAGGGCTTTAGTCCGGTGCACATTGAACTCATTGCCTTTTTAATCAGCCTTCAGATTGCTCCGTAGGTAAATCCCAGGAGTGAGTCAGGCCATAAAAAAGGACATAAGTCTGAGGTTCAAGAGCAACAAAGAACTATTTTATGGAGAAGCTTGGGATTGCTCCCTTGCTGAAGCATTTTAACCCCAGTGAGGACTTGTGGATTGGAAGGATGTCCCAGCGCCCAGTCTCCAGCTGATCCCTCAGTAGAGCCTTTAGGAAGAAGGCAGCTGGGGAGTAGAAAGCAATTAGAATATGGAGAAACTGGAGCTCTTCTTGCTTGCAGAATAGCCAGGAATGAATTGGTATTAATCTTGTAGAAACCGAGTTTTACTTCTGCTTCAGGAACTGAGTCTGATCTTTAATGCTCCCGGGTGATTCCTGTCAAAACAAAGACCTTGTCTGATCATTGCCAATTAATCTGGATTTTCACTTTCTGCTTTTAAAAGGCCTCCAGCTCCATGCGTTTGGTGTCTGCTGCTTTTCCTCAATCTGCAATTAACCTGCTGTCCCTCCCCATGTGGATTCTCACTGTACATGCTGTTGATTTTGGCAAACCCTGCATGTTTTATGGCTAAAATTGTGTTAGCAGCAATTATTTGGAGGCATTTGTTGCTCCACAGGGCTCTGCCTGCTTTTTCTGGCCAACTGAGAGAGTTTTTTTCCCTTTGCTGTCCACAGTGGTCTTCAAACTGTGGATTAGCCAGAAGTAGCATTTGGGCTTCAGCATTTGGAAGCTGGAGGGTGGAAAACAGCTCAGTTAGTGCTGCTGGATCAATGCAGTATTCAAAAGCTGTAGTCTCTATTCCTTGCTGGCCCAGGGGGCGTTTAGAAGCAGCTTTATCTGGCCATTAAAACCATATTTGAATTTGGCTTGAAGTTTGGTACTGTTAGATTGATCCTTCCACGGATGGGAATTCAGTATCATGATTGCTGGAGAAAATACACCTCTACCCTTGGAATCCAGAGATACTTCAGCACAGAATCTTCCTGGTTTCACCTAGAACAGAGCCCAGCTTTTTATGCTTATTAGTGAGCAAATGCTTGGGAGTGTGTTAAAGAAGCTGAGTGGCTGCTTTTTGTTACTTTGCTGGACTATGCAGAGTTCTCCATGAGTGCTGGGAATGTGTTCTCCCGCCTGTCATTCCAAACAGGCATCGTGCATGGTCCCTAACGCCATGAGCAGGCTGTCGGGGTCTGTTTGTGTTTTAAGCTGCCTCTGCCTGGGGTTGAACTGGCAAAGGAGCAGTTCGTTGTCATCCTTCTCTTCTCCACATAGATCTGGGTCAACGAGAGCACGAAGCTGGTGTATTTCCAAGGCACAAAGGACACGCCGTTGGAGCACCACCTCTATGTCGTCAGCTATGAGTCTCCTGGAGAGATCGTGCGACTCACGACTCCAGGCTTCTCCCACAGCTGCTCAATGAGCCAGGTCTGTTGGTTCTTAGGCACGAGATGTGCCCTCACCTCCTGACTGACAGGGCTCCTGACTAGGAACGCTGATGAATCATGACCAGTAACAAGTCCTGAGGGCTGCTTTGCCTTGAGATGTGGGAGCTCTTGTCTGAGAACTGCCTGGAGGAGATGAGATGTGGGAAATGAAAGACCACCTTCCCCTAACTCTCCTGTCTCCCATCTGCAGAACTTTGACATGTTCATCAGCCACTACAGCAGCGTGAGCACTCCACCTTGTGTGCACGTCTACAAGCTCAGTGGCCCCGATGATGACCCGCTCCACAAGCAGCCCAAGTTTTGGGCTAGCATGATGGAGGCAGCCAGTAAGTCCTGGAGAACATGGTTATGTGTGTGATGTTCATCCTAATAGCAGTAGCCAAAGGTGATGGAGGGGGAAGTGGCCCAAGTGACTTCACTCTAAGGGAAAGTCAATTGTGTTATCTTGCAGGGAGATACCCCTAGTGGGTAGTTCATCCAGGAAGCGGTATATGGGCTTTCAAGACATTGCTTTGAGCAAAAGCAGTGCTCCAGGGTGCAGGGTTTGCACAACTGTGGGTTTAGGTCTTGCTTTGTTCATGATTTATCTGAAGAGGGAGGGGACAAGCATCTGACTGCTTCATTCTAGGGCTGCAGGTTTTCAAGTTACAGATACAGCTCACAGCAGCACCTGAACCTTTCCTGCAGGTGTCTTCTCCACCTGACCCATCCCTGTTCTTAACCTCCCACGTTTGCTGTTGGGGTATAGAGTGCCTTGTCTGAGAATACCCAGCTGATGATGCTTTCTTGTGTGATCCCTTCACTCTGTATGGCCCGTTGCCCTATGCAGGCAGTTAGAGGCTGTGTGTTTCCCAGTGAGAAGCTTCTCTGAGAGGCTTGGTGTGGCTTGGTGTTGAAAGAGCCCTGGCTAAGTCAAGTTGGAACAGAAGGAGCTTGTCTGGGAGGCAGAGCTTGCTGCCAGTTACTGCACTGCTAGTGTCTGAACTTCCTTCTGCAGGTTGTCCCCCAGATTACATCCCACCTGAGATCTTCCACTTCCGAACTCACTCAGATGTTGAGCTCTACGGAATGGTCTACAAACCTCATGATGTCCAGCCTGGGAAGAAGCATCCCACAGTGCTCTTTGTGTACGGAGGCCCTCAGGTAATAATCCACTGCTGGTGTCAGGTGTGGGATTGCTGCCCAGGGCAGAGCTCTGCGTAGCTTGGTTACACACCAAGACTTACACTTTGGTTACAGTGAGTGCTAGACCTCTGCTCTGACCTCTGCTTCAAACCTCAGGTGGTTTTTCCAGCATTTAGTGTGATTTGCATGGCTCTGATAGCTCCACCAGTGGCTGCTCTCCAGCTGAGGATCCTACCCAGCGGGACAGGCAGAGGAAAGTGCTGGAAGGCAGCTGCTCAGCTCTGACTCTTTGCTTCCCTCCTCCTGCAGGTGCAGCTAGTGAATAACTCCTTCAAAGGCATCAAGTACTTGCGGCTGAACACGCTGGCGTCCCTGGGCTATGCGGTGGTCGTGATTGATGGGAGGGGATCGTGCCAGCGAGGACTCAAATTTGAAGGGGCCCTGAAAAACCAAATGGTAACGAGCTACTTGTGTTGGTGCCTCTGCTCATCTGCTCTTTCTGAGGCTGCACTTTGCCTGTGTGAGCGTTGCTCTTGTCTTTTCCATCTTGAGCTCCTAGGTGTAGAAAGCCACTAACTCGAGCTGCTTCTGTTGCCTTTTAGGGTCAGGTGGAGATAGAGGACCAGGTGGAAGGTTTACATTATGTAGCAGAGAAATACGGGTTCATCGACCTCAGTCGGGTGGCCATCCATGGCTGGTCGTACGGGGGGTTCCTCTCCCTCATGGGGCTTATCTGTAAACCCAATGTCTTCAAGGTGAGTCTGGCTGTGGGACTGTCATCCTGGGACACTTGGCTCTCTCGGCTTCTGTCACTCTTGGCATCTGGAATTGGGTTTTTTGCTTGATGTTTCTGCCAGGCAGGTGAACATGTCCCTCAGTCCTGCCTGCCCGTAGCTCCTGGCAGCAGTCCTGCTTTCTGCTTACAGGTTATACCTGTCTGAGTCTGGATGAGGCCATTCCCCAGTGATTGCTAAGGCTGGATGTAGCCTTGCATCCAATGAGATAATTGATGTGCTATTCCTAATCCCCTTCCCAAGTCCCCAGCAGTGTTCCTGGATCGTTCCACAAGTCCTCCTTGAAAAGGGGATGCCTTTAGTGCTGGTGTGCAGGAATTTGCTGCATTGTGACCATAAGAGGAATAGCAGGAGGAGGAATCTGGGTTTTATGTGGTTTGCTGAAGAAGCAGCCTGGTCTGAGTGACAGAACAGAGCAGAACCTGGTTTTCCCTCCTCTTCAGGAAAACAGGGAACGCTTGAACTCTTTAGCACTTGATAATTGAGGCTGTCTCCTGCCACCCATTTGTTTGACAGATTGCTATAGCAGGTGCTCCTGTCACAGTTTGGATGGCCTATGACACGGGCTACACTGAGCGGTACATGGATATCCCAGAAAACAACCAGCAAGGTTATGAGGCTGGCTCTGTGGCATTACACGTAGAAAAGCTTCCCAACGAGTGAGTACCGTGGGCTTGAGTGATCTGCTCCATACCTGCTCCCAGCTCCACTTGCATCTCTGCTGAATCCTAAAAGAATGGATGGATTCTCATCCCAGTGAATTTCAGCTCCTGGTCGGTCGCTGCCTTCTGCAGCAAGCTGGGGCTTTGCCAGGGATGGGTTGAGGACCATGTCTGGGGCCTTATTCTGCTGCCTGCCTGGCCATTGCTTGCCAGCTGGCAGCTCTTTGCTTGGACCCTCTGCAGAGCTTTTTATGTGGCTTCACATCCTGTCTCTGATCCCATCCCCAGGCCAAATCGTTTGCTGATCCTCCATGGCTTTTTGGATGAGAATGTGCACTTTTTTCATACCAACTTCCTGGTATCACAGCTAATCCGGGCTGGAAAACCTTACCAGCTGCAGGTAGGAGGAACAAGAGCGAAGTGGGAAGCTCCCTTAAATCTGGAAAGAGAAAAAGGTTTCTGCTGTGTGTTCTGGGGGCGGGTGAAGGCAGAGGCAGATGCTTCCACATCTTGTTGCCGTGTAGGTGACAAGTTTGACTCCAGGAGGTGGCCGGGAGGTGGCGCTGTGGCTGCTTCACCGCTGGCACATGTGGCCTGGGTCTAAAAGCATGTACAAACAGGGCTGCTGCCCTCAGGCCTGGAACTTTCCTTCTCTGTTGAACTCTTGCTGTCTGGGTCGGCTGCTGGCAGCAGAGGCGCCGGCCGAGCAGAGCAGGGCAATGAGGGAGGGAGGCTGGTGCTCTAACCCGTCCCTGGCACCTCTTTGTTCCCACCAGAGAACTGGCTTGAGGGGAAAGGGCTGACGTGAGGGAGGGCAGTCCCTGCTGGAGGAGCTGCTGCTGGCTCATCATCCCCTCTCTCTGCTTCTGCACAGATCTACCCCAACGAGAGACACAGTATTCGGTGCCCCGAGTCCGGGGAGCACTATGAAATCACGCTGCTGCACTTTCTACAGGAATACCTCTGAGAGCAGAAGCCTCTGCAAGCGGGACACTGACAGCTCACCCTCCCCTGCCGAGCCCCGCGCCGCCGTCTCCCTCGACAGCCAGCACCCAGAGCACACGTGGCTGAGCGCCCACCCGGGCTGGGTGTCCCCCCCACCCCGAGCGAGGGGGGAGGCTGGAGAGCACCTTCCCTTTGGACAGTGCCACCTTCTCTCACTTCCCAAGCTGGAGGTCTGCCCCTGCTCGGCTGCTCATCCTGTTCCTCTCCTCCAGCCTGGCTGTTAATGCTTTTTTTGCTGCTACTCCCTCTCTCCTGGGAAGCAATGGACAGTGGTCTGTCTCCCGAGGCTGAGGTTTGTGTCCATCTTTCTCTTCCCCCATCCTTTCCCCCTTCCCACTGCACCTCTGCAGTCCCCATACTCTTACCTGCAAGAACTCAGTGCCTGTGTTGGAAATGGAAGAGCTGAATCAGCAAGCTGCCTTAAGCCAGGAGCGGGAGGGAAGAGAGAACTACCTGGTGTTAAGCCCCAGGGGAGCTGATCACTGCTGCTGTGTCCTGGCCCAGCGTGGAGCCCTGGGATGTGGAGGGAGCTCTACAGAAGCATGGCAACACTAGTCTTTTCTATTTTTCAGTGGAATTTTGCAGAGCAGATGGAGGAAGTGGCTGGGGTCGGTAACAGCGTCCTCTGATACCTTTCTCTAATGGCTGCTCACAAGCAGAGTTGTGCCAACAGGCAGCTGAAGCAGCTGGCTCCAACCACAGATCATCTCTGCAGAGATCACAGCAGCATTTGGGTTTTTTTGCAACACAAGATGGATGATATTTATGCAAATCCCTCCTCCCCTCTGTTCTCTGTGCTGCCTCTTGGTCCCACCTTCTCCTTCCCCGGCCCCCCGAGCTTTCAGATGTGCACTGAAATTGGCTGTGCTTCAGTTCTCTGCGGGTCAGTGACTGTTCCCCTTTGCCCGTCTCCTCAGCAAACGCTCTCTTCTGGTTTCTATTTTACCTGCTCAACAGGAACTGCCGTTCTGGGGATGGGGGGATTGAGCAATCGCACCTCAGGGGAGCACGTCCCCCCCTCAAGCCAAGGGTTCTGCCAGGGGACAAAAGGATATAAACACACAAAACCCACCCAAATGAACCACATCAACTTGCCCTGGAGTATTTTAAGTGCGTATTATGAAAAGAAAATATTTTTATGGATTCTTATTCTTTTATAATTATGAGTGTAAGATGTAGCGACTCATTAAACTATTGCAAAGAGTCCTGCTGGCACTTTGGGGGGCAGGAGAGGGCTCGGGAGGAGACGCAGCTGCCTCCCCGTAGCCAGAGCTGGCTCTGTGCTGAAAGCAAAGAGCTCTGCGCCGGGCAGGGAATGTTAAATCCCTGATGTTCCTGGGGGGGGAAGCGTGATCCAGGCAATGGAAGCTGCAGGGTGGAGGGTTGGGAATCCCGGGCTGTGCGTGACCCTGAGCCCATACCAGCCCCAGCTCCCTGCAGTGACCTGGGGCGATGCAGCTGATCCCACGCTCGGATACATGGAGCTGCCTCGTGCAGGTGCTGGGCTGCCCATGCCTGTCCTCTCTGCAGCCCAAAGCTGACAAACCCTGGCCTTGGTGCCCCCCTTCCTATCTGGGAGTCAGGCAGGGATGAATCCACTCTGAAATGCCCTGAGGGTGCAGGCTGGAGGCTTCTGTTCTGAGTGCCAAGTGCCTTAACAGCTGGAGTGGTTTGTTTCCAGAGTATGGCTGTGAGTGTATTTGTTGCCTCCTCCTTGGCCCCAACTAACTGTCCTGCCACAGTCGTGGTTGAGCTTCTACCCCGTTGGGGAGCCTCATGTGCAGCTCCTGAGGTCGGAAGGGGATGCAATGAAGGAAGTTGCACATCTTCCTCCAGAGAGAGCAGCAGCCAGAGGAGCTGCTCCCTTTCTCCCCACTCTTTAGAGCCGGGAGGGGGCCGGAGGATGGGGTAAGCAGCTTTCTCTTGCAGGGTTGGTTTCTTTCCAGCCTTAATTTAAACTGCTTTTTCGTGTCCCAAAAGAGCAAGTGTTGCTTAAAATGTCTGCACTGCGCTTTCCAAACGCTCTTGTCTACAAGAGTTTACAAACGTGGCAGCTCCTTTGATCCTTCAAGCTCGCTTCTGAAGCTGTAGGATTGTTTGATGCTGTGGAAAGAGGTTGGGTTTCTTCTTTGGGGGATTGAGGATCCTGAGAGGCATTAACTGGGAAATCACCTCCCGCACTCCAGAGTTTTTCCATATGTAACAGCCTCCGTGGGGGATTGAAACACAAACGATGTGGGAGGTGGCCTATGGGAAAGGTAATGGGAGCGTGGAGCTGGGCTTGGGATATCTCATCCTCGCAGAGGATTTGCAGCTGTAGCATGACTCTGAGTTCATTTCCAGATGAGTGGGAATGGCCAGAGCGGGAAAAACAGCTCTTCCTCAGGAATGGGGACCAGAGGGGCTTGGGAGGCGTTTCTCCCACCACAACCCATCATCTGGGGCTTCATTTAGAGGTGGAGGATGTGGAGGGGGAACAGATGTTCCTGATGACTTGGTTAAATAGCAAACCCACTGCTCAAGCAATGGAATTCGCTCAGGAAAGCCACTGCTTGCCCTGGAAGATGCTCGGAGGGAATACTTCCCGGCAGCTCCGTTCCCAAAGCGTGTGGAATAAAGGTGTGACGATGGTTCTCGCTCTTGGACGACCACGTCAGTGGAAACACTCTTGTGTTTTGTGGTGCCTCAGGCATTTGATCTCCCTCCCCTTTGCAGGGAATAACTGAAGTTGCTCTGGAATACCAGGGTCTATCAGGGGAGGTGCGGGGCATGCGGCAGCTGTGCGAGGCAGGCGAAGGGCTGTGGTGGAGGGGGGCTGGTGGTGACAGGAGCCGTGCCGGGGCTGGGGCAGGGCCGTGTGTGTTTGCTGGCACAAAGAAAGGGTGGAAATCGATAGTGGAAAGTCCTCCCGGGGGGATCCTGGGGAAGCACGTCGTGGTGGGGCAGATGTGAGGCTTCAGTCACCGCTGCGGAGAAACCCCTTATCTCTGGTTCCTGCTCCAGCCCCGGGCTCGGAGCCTGAGGCAGGATGCTGCTGGTGCAGTTTGCTGCTGGCTTGGAGCGAAGCTCTCGCTCCATTGGGCTCTTCTGCTTCACCTCGAGCCCCAGAGCTGCTCCAGGCTGGAGCTGGGAGGCTGAGGTGTCTGCAGTGGACAAACCTTGCTCCGGAGGGTCTGGATGTGACCCTGCCTTCCTGGCTCATCCTTCTGCTTGAGGCTTGATCCTGTTGGGTGCTGAGTTAGCTCTCCTCCTTGGTGGTGCAGGCAGAGCTGCTGCGGATGGGGAAGGGAACAATGGGCCGGTTCCATCCCTGCTGCTCCTACTGCCCTTGCGTGTCAGCTGCCTCCTGCCGGCCAGGCTCTGCTCTCTTGCAAAGCTGCTTGTTCCTCTCCTGAAGAGGACAGTTAAATGCACCCAAAGAGTGTCAAACGCGTGCTCGTGGCAGGAGGGCTGGAACTAGATGAGCTTTAGATGTCCCTCTCCAGCCCAAACCATTCCATGATTCCGGAAGCTCCCATCACAACACTAGCGTGGCTGCGCAGGCCAATGTGTGTCTTTCATCTGGCTCCCTTTGACTTCTCTGCCCCCACCCTCAGCATTAATTGGGGCTTGGAAGGACTCATCCTGCTCCCAGCCCTGGGGCTCAGGCCTGGGCCCCCCTGACCCTGCTGTCACCATTCCCCCTGCCCCAGCACCATGGCTGTGCTGCTGCTGGCCCTGCTGGGCTGCACCACAGGACTGGATCCTGCCCTGGAGGACGCCTGGGAAGGATGGAAGCGCCTCCACGCCAAGGAGTACCCAGGGGTAGGTCCTGCTTCCCGATGGAGGGGGGGGGTGTCTCACCCAGAGGTACCCAAGTGCACCCATCCCATGTCCCCATGCTCCCGGGGGGTGTTTCTAATGCTGCTGCCCCATGGCAGGAGGCTGAGCCCATCCGCAGGGAGGTCTGGGAGAAGAACCTGCGGCGCATCCAGCAGCACAACTGGGAGGAGTCGCAGGGGCAGCACAGCTTCCGCCTGGCCATGAACCACCACGGGGACCTGGTACCACAAACAACCCTCCCTGGGGCCACCTCCTGCACTGGGCCCTCAGTGCAACAGGGCTTGAGATGGGGACCGGGGACCTCTTGGTGCACCCGAGGCTTGAGATGGGAGCTGGGAGCTGCAGGTGCTTCCCCAGGGGGCAGGTGGGGAGCTCTGGTGCTGCTCGTGGCATCACACAAGTTTTCCCTTGGTGACCTGCAGACAGACGAGGAGTTTAACCAGCTCCTGAACGGCTTCACCCCAGCATGGCAGGAGGAGCCAGCACTGCTCTTCCAACCATCAAAGGCCCTGAAGACCCCGATGGAGGTGGACTGGAGGGCAAAGGGCTACGTGAC